TGTGTGTGTGTGTGTGTGTGTGTGTGTGTGTGTGTGTGTGTGTGTGTTCAGAGTGCGACGGTCAGGGTGGTGCAGCACAGCGTGGAGTTTGAGGAAGCTCTGGCTGCGCTGGTTTTAATGACGGCACCAATGGCTCCGCACTTGGCTTCTGAACTGTGGGCAGGTTGGTGACTTGCAAATTATTCAAAAATAATCAATTCTGCACTCATACTGTACTGTTCATTATTTTTTTATTTTATATATTTATTGTAAACTCATAATATCATGGCTGTTACCTCGTGATTAATGAGATTTTGGACTGACATAGTGGCAAAAGTGTGTGGGGTTTGTGGTAAAAATAGGTTATTTCTAATATCTGTAAGAGGAAGTTGCCTCAGTTAGACGGTGCTTTTCTAACACCAACGCCCAGCAGTGATGCAATCAACAGCCGTTAAGTCGGTGACACATTTTCATTTGTGTAACTGTTTTGCATCCCAGACAAACAAGAGCCATACAACCTGTAATAGACTCACGGTCCATCAAACGAAATTTAAAGTAGTACCGGGAGCTTTTGGGAAGCTCTCTGCACACAGCTAAAAGAAAAGAGTTTCCAGAAAAACATATTGTCCACCTGACAGGTGACCTCTGGGAGGAAGACACTGTGTGCGTTTTGTTTGTGCTCACATGTGTAATTTTAGAAACGGAACATGAAAGTGAGAAACAAGTGACCTCTGCTGCACTCAGTCACGTTGTATATTTAGTCTTGCTGGTTTAAATGCGAGTCGGGACAGGGGATGGTGGGGTGTTGTTTGACCCTTCATCGAGAAACTCTTTCTCTACATAAAGGAAAACATAAAAGTCCTCCTCAGTCATTTGTTTTGGCTCAATAAAAGACAACCCTTTTGCTTTGTTCTGGTCCATTTTCCCTTCATGTTTTTCTCCCCACCCCTTGGCTGAGTTGGTATAGCGGCTGTTTGAGAGAGCCTCGGCACAAGAATCCATCTCAGTGGTGTGAAAGCAGATCTTTTTTGATATTATTCTCATGTGTGTCCTCCCGGGTCTCTTCACAGGTCTTTGCCAGGTAAGAAACCCCCTCAGCCGCCTCCTCCAGCGGGGGGGAGCCGTCCTGCAACAGTTCTGGCCAACTGTGGACCCCGAGTACCTGGAAGCCCCTGACTTTGTGGAGCTGTCTGTGCTGGTAGGATCACACACACATCGAACTCGTGCAACTGTTTCAGCCAGACCAAAGAAACCTCAAGCTAAAAAACAAAACCCTTATGTTTTTGTTTGAAACACAAAAGGATTTCACTCAGCTCTTTGATCATTATTTATACATAACTTCATTAATTGGGATATTCACTCACGTTTGCTCTTGCATCCACTGCGGTTTTCACTCAAACTCTCCTCCCTTAATTCTAAAGTCCTCAGTCCATGATTACATTCATAGTCTGTAATTTCCCGGAGAGTCTATGATTACCCTGTGTGTGTGTGTGTGTGTGTGTGTGTGTGTGTGTGTGTGTGTGTGT